ATGCATTAGGCATGTGAATGCAGGTGCCTTTTGAAGGACAGGTTGAGACAGTGGATTTGTGTTTATAGTTGCTCCAGAGGCCAGAGGGGGGTAGTTGCCATGTTAGTATAGCTTTCAGCAGAGGCCAGGCATGCAGTAGACAAGTGAATCTGGTACCTGGAATGCTAGAAGGAGGCAGTGTGCATGTGAGTTCTGTTGCTGCAGAGATCAGGGGGGCCGTGGGCATGTGAGTGCAGGCTCCTGCACAGGACAGAGTGGGGCAGTGAGTACGTGAGTGTAGGTGCCTGCAGAGACAGAGCAGGCAGTAGTCTTGTGAGTGGAGGTGCCTGCAGAGTAGAGAGGAGAGAAGTCTGCATGTGAGTTTAAGTGCCTGGAAAAATCAAATAAGAAGGAGTAGGAATGTGAGTGCAAACACCTGCAATGGCCAGAGCTGGGGTTGGCATGTGAGCACTGCTGGCACCTGCAGGAGCCAGATGTGTGTGATAGGCGTGTGAGTACAGGCTATGTAGGTAGTGGGCATGTGAGGGCTGCTGCATGTAGAGGCCAGCTGGGCTTTCCTCATGGTAGTGCAAGTGCCTGCAGGGTCCAGATTGGTATTGGGCTTGCAAATGCAAGTGCCTGAGAGGCCAGAATGTGGCAGTTGGCATGTGAATCCGGGTACCTGCAGAGGTCACAAATGGTTTTCAGATCCCTGGAAGTGGAGTTACAGGCAGTTGTTAGCCTCCCTGTTTGAATGGTAGGAAACAATCGGGTCCTCTGGAAAAGAAGGAAGCAGTCTCAACCATTGAAAAATCTCTTCTGCCTGATAAATTAAATCTCATGAGAAGGGCCATTAGGATATCATATTATTGTCTTTGGATCAGATCAGAAGGCCATGCCTTCACCCAGGACACCCTAGACCTCAGATTTCATTCATGGCTAAGTGGGTTTCCTTTAAGGGGTTCAAAAATGCTGTGGTATCTCCACCCTTAATATGGAATTTTAAATCCTAAACAGGGGTAGTTGTGATGTTTCCTTTATTAGTGTCACTAGGAAACTGGGGTGGAATTCATAGCTGACTTTGAGGGAGGGGTCCATTCTAGAAAATATCCAAACTGCATATCCTACAATACTACTTCATCAGGAGACTAGGAACTGCGCTAAGATTGGGGCATACAAAGACTTAGGGTCTCCACTCTTGCTGAGTTTGAGGCTTTAAGGGATATCGAGAAGACACTGATAGATGCTTAAATTGAAGTACTGCTGGAAATTCTGAGCTCAGCCAGGACAAAACCAGGAACATTTCAGACTTCTTCAACTGCCTGACCAGATGATATCTCCTGTTCACATATCTTCAGCACTACCCTCTCTAGCCTTACTCAGCATCTTTTCTGTTTTTGTCTTCTGTTCAAACAGATAGTTATATTTTCTTGGTGTACTGGGACTTGTCAACATCTCTTGGTTAACTTGGTGGTTTTCATGTAGTCTGTGCTGACTGTTGTGTGCATTTGAAACACTGACGTTGTGTTCCCTCCATTCTGTTGTATCCTACGCATTTGTTAGGGTGTTTGGTAGAGGGTTTGGGAGAGTGTTGGGACAAAATACTCCAAGAAACAGTGTTAATCTTTCCTATCCTGTGTCCTTTATCTTGGTTGGAGAGTCTGTGCTTTGACTTACACTCATCAGTGGTCCTGTTAGTAGACTTAGAAGCAGCATGTGGGCTCCTCTTTCCTTCTTATCACAACTAGAAATAAAATGCCAGAAGTGTTTGGGTGCTCTAGGTTTTGGGTTGTTTATGTCTATTATAGTACTCTTAGAAATATTATTAATCTTTGGACCTTGAATAGTCAAGTTCTGTCTTGACTGAGTCTCCTGTGGTTTACTGGCAATCCAAAGTTAAATGAGTCTGCCTCCCTCTTAACTGTATAGTAAAGAGATCTAGGATTTTTTGCAAAATAATCTGTGTGCTTCTGAGCCAAACTCCTAGAATTCAGTTGTAGAGAGGGAGGAGTGATGAGCAAAGGTGTCAAGACCATTCTGGGGAAACCCACAGAAACAGCTGACCTGAACAAGAGGGAGCTCATGGGCCCCAGTCTGACAGCTGGGGAGCCAGCATAAGAGAGAAGCAGGCCCCCTGAATGTGGGTGTCAGTTGGGAGGCCTGGGCAATCTACGGGCCTCTAGCTATGGAACCAGTATTTATCTCTAGTGCACACACTTTAGGAGCCCATTCCCTATGGAGGGATACTCTCTCAGCCTAGATACATGGAGGAGGGCCTAGGTCCTGACCCAAATAATGTGACAGACTTTGATGATTCCCCATGGAAGGCTTCACTCTCACTGAGGAGTGGATGTGGGGTGGGATAAGGGGTTTGTAGGGAGCATGGAAGGATCCGAGGGAGAGGGTACTAGGATTGGTATGGAAAATAAGATTGGTTTTAATTTAAATAAAAAATGTCCTTTGTGACACAGTCAACAAGACAAAAAGGCAGTCCACAGAATGGGAAAAGATATTCACTAACCCTACATCTGACAGAGGGCTAATCTCCAAAATTTACAAAGAACTCAAGAAACAAGTCTCCAAAACACCAAAGGATCCAATTAAAAGGTGGGGTACAGAACTAAATAGAGAATTCTCAATAGAGGAAGCTAAAATGGCCAAGAGACACTTAAGAAAGTGCTCAATATCCTTAGCCATCAGGGAAATGTAAATCAAAACAACTCTGAGATACCATCTTACTCCTGTCAGAAGGGCTAAAATCAAAAACACCGAAGAAAATTTATGCTGGAGAGGATGTGGAGAGAGGGGAACTCTACTCCACTGCTGGTGGGAGTGCCAACTCGTACAGCCTCTTTGAAAATCAGTATGGAGATTCCTCAGGAAAATGGGAATTAATCTACCACAAGACCCAGCAATTCCACTCTTAGGCATATATCCAAATGAGGCAAATTCATACAACAAGGGCATCTGCTCCACTATGTTCATAGCAGCATTATTTGTAATAGCCAGAACCTGGAAGCAACCTAGATGCCCCTCAACTGAAGAGTGGATAGAGAAAATGTGGTACATTTACACAATGGAGTATTACTCAGCAGAAAAAAACAATGGAATCTTGAAATTCACAGGTAAATGGATAGCACTGGAAGAAACCATCCTGAGTGAGGTAACCCAGTCGTAAAAAGATAAACATGGTATGTACTCACTCATATATGGATTTTAGACATGGATCAGGATAGTGCCAGTCTGCACTTCTACTGAGAGTCTGGGAAACAGGAAAGAACCTAAAAGATATGCATGTATGCATAGTACCCAAGAGAAGAGGATTGAGACAAGATCCTCTGAATGGATGGGGAACACGGCAAGGGGTAGGGGGGAGTGGGAGCTGGGAAGAAGAGAGGGGAGAAGAGGAAGAGAGAGTAGATCATGGGGAACAGGAAGTTGAGTGGGTGGGGGTAGGATAGGGGGAAGAGGGAATCATAGGTTAGAAGACAGATCAGGCACCAGAGTGACCTCTAGTGATCTAAAGGGATAACACCAATTGGCAAGCTAAGCAATAGTGGAGAGACCACCTCGAATGCCCATTCCTGATAATGAACTTGATGTCTATAACCATCCGGGAGCCTTCATCCAGTGATTAATGGAAGCAGAGGCAAACACACAATTAAGCACTGAACTGAACCCAAGGACCCAGTGACAGAGAGAGGAGTGATGAGCAAATTGGCAAAGAATGGGCTGGCAAAACCAGCAGAGACAGCTGATCTGAACAGGGGAGAGCTGTTGAACCCCAGACCGACAGTGGGGAGGCCAGCATGGGACTGATCTGGACCCCCCAAATGTGAGTGTCAGCGAGAAGGCCTGGACAACCTATGGGGCCCTGGGCTGTGGATCAGTGTCTATCCCTGGAATACAAACAGTCATCGTGTGCCCATAGCACAAAGAGGGATGTTCTCTCAGCCTGGACTCTTAGGGGAGTGCCTGGAGCCTACCCAGAGTGAAATGACAGACTCTAGATATCCCCTATGTGGAAGGATTTGGCAATAGGGTGGGAGGCTGGGGGGGGGAGGGGAGTGCGGGAGGAGGGGAGGGAGAGGGAACTGGGATTGACATGTAAAACAAGCTATTTAAAATTAAAATAAAAAATGATAAAAGAAAAAAATGTCCTTTGCATGGCATGTAGTTCCCTTTATAGAGGGAGCTTGTTAGCAAACTTATCAAGGCTCTTTCTGTTAAAGGTTAAAAGCAAGTGGTAGCCCTCACAGCTCCAGGGCAGATGGTCTGCTGCCTTGTGGTTCCTTGGTCACCACCCTGATCACTGAGAAAGTACAGGCATTAATGAAGTGACATTGGGTTGACTGCTCCATATGACTAACAACTGAAACATAACCATCACTAAATGGCATTGCCTGTTACATCTAATGGGGTCTCCCTTCACTTACCATGATTCACATTACTTGTGCTGATATGTTTACTATTACTGGGGTGTGCCACAGGCTTGGTAGGCTCTGATTCACTGGCCCACCCTGCCCCAAAGAACTGTATTGTTTTGATGCTATGTGATGCCCTCTTCCCCGTGAAAGGCTTGTTATACAATAAACAGCCTTCCCACCCAGCTTTACAACACCTCAGAAGTCAGCTATGTCGTCCAGTAGCTTAGACTTTATCACCATTAGGCATAAAAAATGGAACTGTAAAGAACAACACATAAGCTGTTCATATCTAGACTTTACACTTAACCACAGCATTGCTATGCACTTCACGGACAGAACTGCCAGTGCATTCCACAGGTCTGAAGGGCACACGCTGAGACATTAAAGGAGGAAGGCTTCTCCCTTGGAATGCAAAGAGTGCAGTTACCAGACACAGGCTTCACTTTAACAACTGCATGGGTTCACATTGTCCCCATCATAGGTAGAGAGAGATTTCTGTGAAGCATCTCCCTTGTGAGGAGCAACCATGCCATTCATTTCAGAATGAAAACAAGTCACATTCTCCTTCCTCCTCAATGATCATCACAGGTTTGGTGTTGGCTTGTTTGTTGATGGTTTTTTCCTTTAATGCTTTAATGAAACCACACACTTTCCCAGGCCACTTAGCCTTTCAGAAAAAGGAGTCACATTTTAAAACCACATTTAACATGGAGACTCTAAAAGAGTGACCTAGAACCCAACCCAAATTGGACATATAAGCTGTTCAGTATCAGGAGAATTCCTCCTGTTACTACTTAACATGAATTGGACACCAGACTTGACAGAAAACATCAAAGTATCATGAATGAACCTTGGAATTCGAGTGGTGGAGCAAACAAGCGAAAGAGTACAAACGCCCATTGACCTCTTACTGAAATTACATGCAAAAGCCAAGACTTCTTTGTATGGATGCCATTACTTTTTATAAACAAATGATGAGGAGTATCCAGGTCATCATATTGGAGGTTGTCCTCTCTGCTGTAGGCTGTAGAAATGAGCCTCCTTCAATATCTGGTTAATATGGGAGTAAGACCCTTGATTTTCGTACACTGTATACTTCTGAGAAAACTCAGGGACATTGTAGTTACGTTCAGGCACATTCTGGTTTAAGCAGTTGTCTGACATACGTTCTGTATTGGTGTTACTGGTGCTGCTGTGGCTCCTTGAATTACCACTGCTTGATGACTGGAAGGAGAAAGACAGAAGGAGGATAGCTATTATGATAGTGTCATCATTTCCTGTTCAGCTTTAAAAATACTGGCATCACACTCTACAAAAGCCTGTATTGTCCATAAAGTGCAGTCATTGGGTAGCTCAGTTCCTCATCACAGCAGCACTATCACTCTAGCTGCGTTAATAGCACCCATTTGACAGACCAGGAAGGAGATGTGTGATGGGCCCAAAGAGTACAAACATAGGTTTTCTCACTCCAAATCCTTCCAAATATCCTCTGGCCCTGCTGGCACCATGTTTTTCAATTATCTGCAGCAGGAAAGTAAGCTCCAAACCTCCAGGAGAAAGCAGAAATCAATGCTGCAGAATGTGATCAGTATTAGGATCAAAATAAGTAAGTTGGAATGTAGGTCCATGTCCCAACGTGACAAAGAAATGATGGGGAAAGCTCCATTTACATATATGTCCACATGTGCATAAATACAAATAAGGGGGTCTTTCCACACCTATGACCTAGAGTGAACATACAGCAATTCAAGGCTCCACTCATCTTGAAGTACTTTTGATATATTTCAATGACAACTGCATTTCTGATGACTAACACCCCTGGTCTCCTATTTGTGGGGTTAGTTTAGTTTGTATATGGTGAGTTTGCTCTTAATATTGTCTGTCCTGGGAATAACTTCACTCTGTAATATTGATGATGATATGTAGTGATATTATATTATACACCCAAAGAGCTATATTCTGAGATTCTGTAGCTAGGGGTGAAATTCAGTGGTAGAGTGCTTTCCTCAAACTCATGGGACTTTGACTTCCATCTCTTTGGGTACAGAACACACACTTGTACACACACTCCAGAACTGCTTGCCTAAAATCTTGAGACTATCAAAGGAGGAGGAGGTGATCACAATGACACTTATGTGAACAGAAATGTTGAACAATATTGGTATTGCATGTCTTATAAGGCCATTTTTTCCAGGTAGGAACTGCAATGATGACAGAAATCAAGACATGTCATCATTCTCAGGTCATGTTTAACTCCTCAGCTCACTACATCATCTGAAGTATCAAATGACAGTATTTATGCACCAAGATTCATGCATTCATAGGCTGTCTTTGAGAGACACAGAAGCCAACTGTCTAATAGGTATCACTTGGATGTAACACTACGTTTGTGAAAGTGATATCAGAGGAAATCAGACAAACTATACCTAAGGTCTGCAGTGTAAACATCTCTATGTAACACTTTTACTATATGGTTTGCTTATAAACACTCAAAATCCAGGTAACCTGTCACATTGGATAAAAAACACCCAGTACATTCTTTGGTTCCCTTAGGGAGATTTCTTTCTTTCTTTTTTTTTGTTTTTGGTTTGGTGTGGCATTTTCCTTTTTTGCTGGATTATATTCTCTACAAAGTGGCAAGTAAGGGAACTATCACAAATGGAAGCAGATTTGGTTTACACTCTTGTGTCATGAAGATGTCAGCATAATGTGAAGAGGACATATAGTACATTAAGGGGCTGAGTATATGGTGACATTGGTAGAGAGCTCCCTAGCACACAGGAAGTCCTGGCTTGAAACCCAGCTCAGTACTGCAGGTGCTAAGAAGCACTCCTGTAGAGGCAGATGGAGGTTGCAGGATCACAATGTCAAGGTTATGATCATCTTTGTCAACATAGCCAGGTTAATGTTAACTTGAGTCTCCTGAGACCCTTTGCTTAGGAGAAATTACAGGAATTCTCACAGCCCGCAAAGGAATTCTTCAGAGTCATTGTGAAGAAGACAGTAGATGGACCAGTCTCTATAGTTCACCTCATTACAATAATGTTCATTGACAGGTTGTACACCTTCAGCATCTTAAGTATTAACAACTAGAAATCACTAACCAATTTTTATAAAGGAAGTGACTGGCAGGGTATATTAGCACAAACCTGTAATACCAGCACTTGGAAGGCTAAGGTAGGAGGATCTGGAGGCCCTGCAGGATTACATACTGAGTTCCAGGCCAGACCTGCTGTGTTTTGAGAACCTGCACAAACAGTGAGACAGACAGCCTGACAGGCAGCCAGCCAGGCAAGCAGGGAAAAGGAAAGAAAGAATGAAAAAAGAAAGGATGAAGTAAAATCACCTAATGTAAACTATACTACACTTACTAATCAAATAGAGCCTTCAGGCCCATTTCTGGTGACGAGGATGACATAGTCTTGTTTTGCAGATATACATCGATGTCTGTGATTTCTTATGGGATGTCTGTATTTCCCAAGTTGTTTGAAAACTTTGAGGTGTAGTTAATGAATGTCAACACTGATCATTGGTCGGAAAACACTCCTGCTGTATTAGTTATAGTTACATTCTACTGTTGTGAAGACACCATGAGCAAGGCAGCCCATGGAAAACCTACTGGAGACCTAAGTTTCAGAATGTAGTTAGAGTCTATGACCACCAAGGCAGCAGGAAGGCAGGCATGCTGCTGCAACAGATGCTGAAAGCTGATAACTTGGGACAGAAATAAGAGGAAGACACACACACACACACACACACACACATACAGAGGGGAGAGAGACACTAACGGGGAAAAGCATGATGTGAGCATTTGAAACTTCAAAGCCCATACCTCCTCCAACAAGGCCATACCACCTAATCCTTCCAAAACAGGATTAGCTACTGAGGATCAAGCATTTCAATATATGAGTCTATTGGGGCCATTCTTACTCAAACCACCACATACTTGTTCAGCTTGCAACTGGATATCTTCTCTTTCCATCTCATCTACAAATGATGTATACAGAAAACCGAGATTCCTGCTTTAACTGAATCACAGATACTATCATTATGCCAATGAAAATAGATTATGAGACTCAGTTCCTTCTGACATCAAAACGAGGTTAATGAACTGTAATGCTGGAAAAGAAATCTTAGGGAGAGGGCTCAGTGTCCTACAAAGTGGTAAGGACAGTCTACCTCCCCATCCCACAGCAGTGTTCTCTCCATCCTCAAGGCCATTCACCCTATCAACAGTCTTCCCCGTTACAAAGCCTGTACTTTGTAACACTCTTGCTGTGAGAATGACCTTGAAGAGAAATTCTTGAATTGGAGTTGTTTATAATACAGGGCCAATTGGAATTTTTTTACTGCTTGATCAGACTGTTCTTTGGCAGGCAAAACTGCTCTTGGTAACAGAAATATTTCCATGTTCCTACACCTGAGTTTCATAGACAACAAGTTCTTTTCCCAGAACATACAAGACCTGAAATGTTCCAAGACTGTCCAAAATTTTATTGACAAGTGAATGCTTCTTAGCATGTTCTGACTGCCTCCATAATCATTTGTTCACAATGCCCACTCAATCAGGAAGCCCAATGCTTTAGAAAAAAAGGATGTTTATTGGCCATGTTGGTGTTGGTACATGCCTTTTAAACTGCTCATGGGAGTCAGAGGGAGTCAGGTCTCTGGTGTGCAGACTGAGTTCCTAATGAACAAACAAAAAAGATTTATTGATTTCTGTGTTCCTGAGTATATGCTGTGTGCACGGTGAATACTTAGGTGTCTATGCAGGTCAGAATATGGAGATGCATGCTCTCTAACTGGAATTACAGGTGGATGGAACCCCCTCAATATGGATGTCCAGGTCCTCTGAAAGACAAGCTACTATCAGCAACTGCTGAGCCATCTCTCCAGTCACACAAAGCCCACTCTGATATCCCTGCACTTCCAACACAGTTTAGCACTTATGTTGGTCATGTCCTTGCAGATCCATGCATTCCATAAAATAAAAGCATCATTAACATGGATCTGGGGAGGAAGCCATTACCATTTAAAAATTCCAAGAATGCTAAACAATGATGATGTGGCCTAGGCCCATGTGCAAATCACTGTTATGCTTTGTTCAAGGCCTTAGTAAAATCTGCATGTTTAACACAGAGCCCAAGAAGTTTCATGGCTTCCTGAGAATTGCCACAGTTGTGTTTGAGGACAAGACACAGAATCTAATCTGGAACTTTCTTCTCAGTGGCTGGGAGCCTTCCTTACCTGGGCTGCAATGTGAAAGAATGCTAGGTGAGCACATGCTATTGCAATGCCTAGCATGGTAAGAAAACACTAAATATACATACATTAGTGGTGACTTACAGATCCTTATTCAGCCTCAGGCCCACTCAAGAAAAAGGAAGTCAGACCTGGTACAGGAAACCTAAACAACTACCCAGGGGTAGATACAGTAATGGAATCTGGAGAACCAGTAACTGCCACTTTACCAAGACAACATAATCCCTAACTACATTCCAAATATTATCCTTATACTTACAGAAAAGTGCAGTCCCCATGCATCATCATGGAAACTTCTTTTAACAGACAGAGACCATTCAAGAACAGCACAACTAACAAAAGTGCAGCATGGTGGAGCCCAGTCACAGTGGACACAATGAACATAGTGGAAGAGGGGAGAGAAAGTTTGTTAGAAGCAGAGATCATGGAGTTTGCTGTGAGACTGTATCTCCTAGAAATGTCAGGAGCTACACCCATAAAGTCCCTCCACCATGACGGCCTAAGCATGAACAGAAGAACAACCACAACAGATATTGCAAAGTGGACAGGGGATGCCCAGGACACTTCAATGCTACAAAACTAAAACAAACCCTAAGGCCAACTAAGGGATATTGATAGTGAGAGAAAAGGAAAAGCCAATTGGTTATCCATACCAAATGCTCAATAAAGAAGACATGCATAAACGTAGTATTATAGATGCTGAATAGGTTAGGTTGTACTTTTTAATCTCTCTCTCTGTGCATGCGTGTGTGTGTGTGTGTATGTGTGTGTGTGTGTGTGTGTAACCTCAATTAAAGAGAAAAGATGCCAAAAATTGATAGAGAGAAATAAGGAGGGTATGTGAAAGGGGCAAAGGGAAGGGCAAAATGATACAACTCTAACATAACCTTAAATAATACAATAAATGATCAAAGAAAAAATGAAATCCACTTGTACCAGGCAGTGCAGGATGGAAGGAATGTTAACAGAGTGTGACAATTGGGGAGAACATGAGCTGAAGAAGAGTGAGGAAGATTTGGAGGGGCAGACAGATGCTGATCAGAAGACCGTTTGTGTCCCTAATGAAGTTCTCCAGCCATAGAACTTGCAAGAGTAGACAAGGCAAGAACACTTGGAGACCTTGGATGTCATGCTGAGAATTCTACTGAGCCAACCAGACAGATACTCTAATGAATGAAAGGGAAAGGAGGACAAAGAGCACAGAGGCCTCCTACACAGTTTTACAAAGAAACCAGAAACAGTCCCTGCAGGTCTTGGTGATGCTGGCAGAAACACAAAGTAACTCTAGTGATCCCCAGAGACTGAAGGAGGAAAGAGTCGCTGGAGCACTGAACACACACACAAGAACACACTAACCACTGCAGACAACACCTGGCAATTTAAACATTCCCGTGTTTGAGGTTAGCAGGTTCTAAGATTGAGTCCTCCAGTGTATGCTGTGGCAAATATGGGGCAGCTGTAGAAAGTAAGGTGCAGTGAGCAGCTGCAGATAAGAACTGTGAAACAGAAGGTCGTGGGAATGAGAGCAGCAGATTAGAATCAAAGGTGAGAAGGAAGACAGTACCTGGAAATAAGGCAGGTCTCCAGGGTTCACAGTAGGTGGAAACAGCCTCAATTGGCTAATGATACAAATGCTGGGAAAATGGATATAGAAGCGATAAGGAGGATTGTTCATACAGAATATCATTGCTGAAACTGAATGGCAATTGACGTTTATTCATGACATAGAACTAGATACTGCTTCCTAAGGTGACAACAAGTAAATTCAAGATTTTTATATCTTCAATTCTAGCTTTCTGTCCCATCCCATTCCTGTATACCTCAGAGACACTTGTTCAACCCTAACAGTGGAAGAAAATTCATCCTTAATACCCACTGCAACTCAGAATTACATGTTTACTGACACTGAACAGCCCAACCAAACCCACTGAAGTCCCCAGACTATGAACTGCCAAAGGCGCCTCACATTGTCAATGGCAGCCCCACCTTTGCTGATCCCACCCAAACAGTGCACACTCTCTTGAGTCAGAGAGCATCCAAGGAAGCAGGGTGTTGAATTACTGCCGCTTTGCAAAGGAGCAAGGGAATGAATAGCACCATTTGTGGAATTCTGTGTGTGGGTAGCGGCCTTAATTCAGGCTTCCAGAAGACCAGGAGGTAAAACTGGGACAGACCTTGAGTATCAGGCAGTTTTGCAACTGCAAAATTCCAAGTAAACTGCAAAGCATATCACCTCATCTGTGGGAAAGAAGTGAATGCAACAAAAATGACTTGGAAATCCTTACCTGTAGGAAACATGTGGACTTGTTTATCTTCAATCAACAACTCAGATTCTAACTTGAAATTCTACATGAGAGTGCTTGCCATAATCTGGCATGATCGATCCATGGACAAGGAATCTTAAAATGTCTACAAGCTATTGGGCCATCTTTGGCAGAGCTCCCCTGCCCAAGTACACAGGTTCAAGGAATGTATCTTCAAAGATATAAATGCTTAGGCTTTGACAACACGACTAATGACATCTCTTTTTCTCAATAACAGACTCAGAACCCTCTAATGTCTCTCTCACGAAGTTCTGCCTTCCAGATCATACAGAGAAATCCAGAGGGATGTAAATCGCCCCCTGCTAATTTCATCTCTGTTGCTGTGTGAAAACACCTTGACCAAATCAACTCAGGGTTGAAATGATATCATTGGCTTCTAGATCCAGGTTTTCATTCCTCATTGCTGGAGAAGGAATTTAAGAGCAGTATCTCACCTACAGTCAGGATCAGAGAGAGAATAAGCACAGGGATCCTTGCTTGCTTGATCATTTGCTTATACTTGCCTTTCCTTTTCTCTTATGCATTCTGGACGCTTTGCCCAGGGAATGGCACCACCTACAATGGGCTGGGTCTTTCCATATTCACTAACAATCAAGATGACTCCCACAGACATATCCCAACATGATTTCAGTAATTCCTTAGTAAGACTATTTGAAAGTCAACGAATTGAACTAGAAAAAAAATTATACTGAGTAAGGTCACCCCACCCCCAAAGGACAAACACCACATCTTTTTACTCCTGTGTGGGTCGTAGCTTCCAATTTTGTATTGTGTATTCATCCTAGAATCCACATGGAAATCAAGAAACTAGACATAGGCCATAGGATTGTGGGAAGTTTACATGAAAGAACTGGAAATAGAAGAATACTGGTAAAAAAAAATTTGAGAGCAGAAATCCTGGTGTCAGAAAGATTCAAGCAGTTTGTGGACTGGTGAGAGTGGGAAAAGGAGGGATTGTGGGAAGGATCAACCAAAGGGAAGTGTGCAGAAAGAAGCCACATGAGAACAGATGACCTTAGACCCCAAGTAAAATGCATAGTAAAAGGTGGTGGAAGCCATGGGATAGGAAAGAACGCGAGGGGCATGCTGGGGGAGACAAGTTCAGGTGAGAATAGGAGAAAGGAGTGGACACAAGAAGTGAGGATGTGGACATGCAAAGAAAACTAAGGATGTGTGAAGAAGCTTTATGCAAATGCACTAGATGGAAAACGAGGTCATACGTGCTATTTTTTAATGATCCATTTTTCCTCTGTGCACTGGTGTTTTGCCTGCATGTATATTTGTGTGAAGGTATCTGATGCCCTAGAACTTGAATTACAGACAGGTGATGTGGTGCAGGGACTTGAACCCAGGTCTCCTAGAAGAGAAGACAGTATTCTAAACAACTGAACCATGTCTTCAGGCCCAATAGATGCTATTTTATACAAAGATAGTGCTAAATGTTATTCCCAAAAGCCATAGATCATTAAATAAAAGTCTCAGCATTGCACACGGCTTACTTCCATATTGACCGGACATCCCCAGAGGTGACCAAATAATAAAGTTGAGGTCATAGTTCCTTGGAAATTCAGAGGGAGGACTTACTTTAGTTCTGCTAAATGATCGTGTTCTTAAACTTCCTTCCATACATTCATGTTTGCATGCATAAGTCTGAACTGCTTTCCACACTGGTTAGAGGAACTTGTAGTTACAATGAGTAGTGGTCATTGTACAGACACTATTCTACAGGTGGACACTAAGCAACTATGAGTGCTAAGCCACAGACAGGATATCTACATCCACTTGCCCCTGTCTTTAAGCTCAGGAAATATTATAGGTGAGGAGGCAGAAAGAACATAAAAGCCAGATTATAGGGAGGAGCACTATGACATACTGTCCCTTGGATATGGTATGGCTGTTGCACATGTGAACACATGGTAGTTGTGGTTACCTTCACAAGACCTGACACACTAAAGCCAGGATAAGCTCCTTGGAGGTGCTGTTGTGGCTGAACATCTAGCATGGTTGATGGCTGCCGGAGAAGGAAGAGCCACTTCTCTCTGGGGAGATGGATCCTGGTCATCAGTGGATGACCCCAGGACTCTGTGCACTTGAGAAGAACTAGCTGGACACAGTGGGTTAAATAGGTACATATTTATGCAATCAAAAGGAGGATATGAAATTGAGACAGATATTTGTTGGGGGTGTCCAGGATAGAGTTGCAGGGAGAGATTACAGGTGAAGATGAACAAAGAATAGTGTATCCATGCATGAAATGCCAAAGAATAAAAAAGAGTATTAAAAAGAGATTCTCATCTCAGGTGGTTCCATGTCCTGCCAAGCTGACCATTAAACTAAGCAGCACAGACCAAAAACTGGTAACAGTGGAAAGAAATATAACAGGTTGCCTAACATTCCAGCAGACAGCCTAACTTACCCTGCTTCAAACAGTGCTGTCACAAAGAGCTATAGTCCCAACAGGTGGGGAAAATCAAGAATGCACAGTTGTCTACCCTAAATAGGTGTGAGGCCCTTAGTGTATGTTTCTCATTTGTATTCCTGCTGCTTTCCTTGGAGCTTGAGCAGTGGTTCCGTGTGATCAAAAGCAGAGTGAAGTCTGGGATCTGTACCAGTAATCCTCATGCTCTCCTTGCACTCTTCATTTCCTGCTTTACCCAGTCATCAGGAAAACACTGTGAAGCCCTTGTTCTTTATGAGGAAGACAGACAGGTACAGAGGCTTTCAGTCTTTATGTTTGCACTACCATATCTCATACCTGTGATCCAGAGAGCAGATTTACATGGGAAGGTCTAAAGATGCTAACTTTGGAAACACAGGCCAATGTTAATATTTTGGTGACCACATGCAAGAGAGAATTCTATGGGTCAAGAACACTCTTTGCTTGAATCGGGGAGATCTATGCACATTTTATCTCAAACCTACCTGTGCTTGTGTCCTAGAGGATTGGCACATGTGGATAAGCCCTGTATCTCTTTCTCGAGGTAAGTCAAAGTGAACCATACTTCCTCATTACCTGGTGAGCCTTGTCCAGCAAATCTTTACAGTGCCCCCTCCTCACTGAGTTATTCTTCCTTTCAAACCATGCTGCTTTACCCACTTCCTGGTTGTTAAGACTCTTGAAGTTGAAATGTCAGCTCCTCAGTGCAAGCATCGCTAAAGCTTTCCCAAATCTCTTCACACAACCTCCACTTTGCTTTCAGGTTTTTCTGGGAGAAAGCAAGATCTTTGCAGCTAGTGGCATGCATCTCCATTCCTCAAGTTTATTTCTGTTCTAACCATAGAAGGGTGGGTTCCATTTTCCCCCCTTTGCAAGGTGGGGGAATTCCTGGAAGCCCATTCCTCCTGACTGTGCTCAGGAAAGCCTCTCTGTTGGCCCTGTCTGTGTTGTGTTGTGTTGTGTTGTGTTGCATTGTGTTGTGTGGTAAATCCATGCTTAAGACAACACCTAAAATCCTGCTGTCTCAAAACTATTGCAGCCAAGGAGGAGACTTTCATGAGGGCATCTAGGAAGGTTTTCTTGCCATCCTGGAGAAGGAAAAGAATGCCACAGAGTAGCAATGAGTCAAACGGTGAAGCTGTGTGACTGTGGTTCTTACCTCTACAGCGCGAGAGTCCTGGAAGGCCTGGTCCTTCTTATTCCTCTTTGAATGAGGAGCATCATGATTGTCTTCCTTGTCCTCTCGTGGCCTCTTCCTGAAAATAGTTTTCAAAGGGAGAGGAAAATCTGTCATCATTCAGCAATTGACTTTTGGGGGTTTAACTTTCAGCCCTGTGTGAATACCCAAATCTGCAGCCTTGTCTAGGAATGAACCAGTCAGAACTGCTGGGTTCACACACTTGGCAGGCAGATGGCACTATGCAGTGGAGGACACATGTCCAGCAGAACTTCCATGCTTACCCAAGGCCAAGTTCAAGATCGCCAAGCCAGAATATTCATTTGAACCACTGTTTGGGACCAAATACATGAAGAAATTAATGGACAAACATTAAAACTCTACCTGGCCAGGCCCATTCTTGTCACCCAGTTATATACTCGCTCCAGATTATAGTATAGAATTCTAGGCCCTGCCACAGGGCACCTTTCAATGTACGTAGAGCTTCTCTGCTGTAGCTGCTCTTCTGTCCTTTTCTCTAGTGGCTACAAACAGATACTACTCGTGTACTGTGAGATCATTCCTGTTGCTATAACAACAATTATTATGTCACGGTAGCTAGTTCCCTTGACTGCTACCATGACACTCTGACTGATTGCTTCCCTGAAACAGTGTCTACAATGTACTTTAAAGCTTCATTCCCTTATGTCTTCCTCCAATGCCCTCTTTACACAAATAATTAGTTTGTCATACTTGATGGTAGCATTCTTGAATATTCTTCATATGTTATTATAGGGATATTTTTGCATCAGCTATTTAATTAAAGATAATTGCTAATTTTTTCTAGTCATATATTTGTCTAAATTCATTTATCCTTCTGTAGTCTTTAATCTTGTTTTAGTGTCAGAGAGAACACTTCATGGCAAGATATCTCACTTAGTTTAAACACTTTTCAAATAAACAATCTTTAATAAATTAAGCTGAATATAAAATGCAAAAGTTATACCTAGACAAAAAGTGTTTACATACATTATTGACTGAATCTATTGTTGGCTACAGTTGGAATTTTTTCCTGACTTGTGTCTCTATCTAAATTAAAGCAGAAAACTATCTGAATCAGTAACAGTACCTACACTTGTTACAGTTGTTTTTTAATGCAATGATTTCTTTAACACAGAAATATTTCATATGGTGAAAAAATGAAATATTGCACATCTAAATAAGAGAATATCATCATGTACAGATGCTATATGCGCTAAATTATTCAGGGGATTTGTGTATTGATGGGGTGTATACTTCTGTATATATGTTTCTCTTATTGGTTAACGAATAAAGCACTTACTGGCTGATTGACAAGACAGGAAGTGATGTAGCTATGCAGAATCAGGATATAAGCAGGGTCAAGCAGGAAATAACTCTCCTCTCTTCTCTGTGGAGATGCTGAGTAGTCATCACATAGCAGGCAAAGGAGTTTCAGGTTCAGCATTCCCTGGTAAGACCACATGGAACTACTTAGATTGATAGAAATTAGTTAATAATTAAGACAGAGCTAGCCAACAAGAAACACTAGATAATGGCCAACAGTTTAATAATTAATATAGCATCTGTGTGCTTCTTTGGGGCAGAGAATGGTGGCGGGACCTACTGAGCCAGAAAATTTGAAACACAGTATATAATGTTATTTTATAATTAACAAATTTAGCTGTGTGTGCCTTTCCTTGGATATTTTTGGAAAGCAGACCCATTTTATTTAGTTTCAGCTACTTGAGGAAAATGAAGGTCTTTAGCCATCTGATAAATTGTTGAAGCACGGACTTTCCTGTGAAGTGATCATGTCTACAATCACAAGAATATGCCCATAAACTAAAGCATTGTTCAATATGTTTTTTTAAAATTTAAAACTGTGTTCCTATATTTATTTCTCTCTGTGTCTCTGTGGAGATACATGTTATGGCCTATGTGTAGTGGTTGAGTAACAACTTGTAGCTGGTTCTTTCCTAATTTTACCTGGAATGTGATTGAAAATTGATCATCAGACTTGCTGTCTAGGCCTTTAACTATTTTTATCATTCTGTTGTCTCATAGGTGCATATAATTTGCTCTCATCACACCTACCATAAAATTTCTCTTCTGTCCCTCATGCCACCTTCCCCTCCCATCTTCATGTACCTTTTCACATCCTTCTGACACCATGTAATGGTGCCTGCATGTGCATGGGTTTAAGAATGTCTACTGAATGTTCGTTAGCCAAATTCCTAACGAAACTGGAATCTTCCTCTATAAACATCAATTGCTTAGAGATCCTCAGCTAGGGGTGTAAATTCATGAACTGCTCCCTAATCCATGCTGAGATTTTTCCTGGGTTGATCTTGTGCATGTGGTTACAGCTGCCTCTGAATTCATGTGGGGAACAGTTCTGTCTTGTATGTCCAACAAATAGAGTTTTCCTACAAACATCAGCCACCTCTGACTTTAACAGTCTTTGTTTCTGTTCTTTCTTGAGGACCTCAGAGACTTAGAAGGGACAGATTCATGCTTTACATGTCCCATTCAGGGGGTTGGGGGTGGCATCTGAGTTGCTTACTTTCTTCTTGTTGACCATTAGAGATTTTGTGTTAATTGCCATCTACTGCAAAAGGCGGAGTTCTTAGATGAACTAATGCGTGGAATAAATACAAGTTAGAGGGAAGTTTAATATTATTTCAATTATGCAGAATAATGGTAGTAAATACTCTTTAAGACTTAAGAATCTAAAGACTTTGGCTGCCTGATCTTTGCTTGGAGGCTTATTGCGCAAGGATTTAATCCCCAGTGTCTGTGAGACAATAGAGCCAATGCAATCCCTGATTCTGAGCAGTAGAGAGGACCAGAACTAGGAATCACTTCGAAGTTCTACATGTGTTCCTTAGGAAGCTCAGTTCCTTGAGGCCAGCATCCCAGGTCTGCACTGTTGGAACCCTTGTTCCCTGTTCGGTGCTATTGTCACAGGTTGAAGACCTAGAATCTCAAGACCTTCGGCCATTCCAGACTCCTCATACTCTTCCGGGGAGGGAGATTCCAGCCTTTCTCATCCCTGGCTCTTCACAGCCATCTGTCTTTCTCCAGCATCAGAGCTCTGCCTCCTCTGCATTTCTGCTGTCCATTGGTGCATCCCCTCCTTCTGCTCCCCACCATTTCTGCCCTAGTCTGTCTGCCCCAAGAACTCTTCCACTGCCCCCTTCTGCCACTGGAGCTACCACAAAGGCTGCTGCCTCTCCAGGGACAGCAGATGCTGCTTGTATGAGTGTGCTGCCTGCTGCCTTAGCTGCCGTCTCCTCTGCAGGCTACCAGCTTAGCCCAGTGTATCACAAGCGACAAATGCCTAGACCCCACACTGGCAAGAAAAAACTATGTTTTTCTAATGGACCTAACCTTACAACAGCAGAGGACAAGCAGACCCAGAAAGTGAATCAAGCTGCCAACTCATACAGCAAGAATGGGGGTGTGGCACCTTCATGCTAATGGAGTATTGTGAACTGTGTCAATGGTATTCATCCCACTGGGCCACCAGGGCAAGTGTTGCCCTCTGGCCTGGGGGAAATGGCTGCAGAGCCTTCTAATGTATATACCCAGGGCTGTGATGCCAAAATGCAAACCCAAACAAAATCTCCTGAAATCTATTGAAATCACCGTGGTAGGTAGAGCTTCTTCTGGAGCTGGTACTGACATGCATGTGTCTTTGCACTGCAATGTGCTCAAGGCATCTGGGCATTTATACAAGCCACCAGGCCACAACCAGGACATTTCAGTAGGTTTCCAAACTGGAGCTGCTTAAGAGTGACTGGCACAAGCAGACAGATAGCCTGTGACAAGTCCAGTCCTGAGAGTCTGAGTCTCACATAGGCAACATTCAAAGGATTTACAGTAGAGTCAAGAAAAACTTCAGATAGCACTAAGTATTCTAGCATTCAACAGTACTAAATGCTACAAAGAACCTCCTTACACTCCAGTGCCACGTCCTGAGGCTGCTCATGGCTGGTCCATTGTTGTACTGTTGAAATATTCCTTCTTGCTCCTGGACAATGCTCTCACCTCCTCGTGTCACAGCTGTGCCAGGGGAGGTGGTGTCTTTAGGTTCTTTACTGATCTTCATCCTTCTTTGGCCCAAATCAGCGAGTGAGTCCTTGGCCTATTTCTTTCAGTGGCTTAAATGTGATTGGAGGCACTGATCAACATGTACCGTTATACTGTCTTTTAAAAGCTAACATACCAGCCGGGCAGTGGTGGCACATGCCTTTAATCCTAGCACTCAGGAGGCAGAGGCAGGTGGATCTCTGTGAGTTCGAAACCAGCCTGGTCTACAAGAACAAGAGCTAGTTCTAGGACAGCCTCCAAAGTCACAGAGAAGCCCTGCCTTGAAAAAACAAAAAGCAAAAAGCTAACATACCTGTTCCTTCCCCCCTTTTGACATTATTCCTATTAATTTCTTCCTTCATTTTTCTGTCACAACTTTGAAAGTAACAGCAGCAGGGGCCAGACTTAGTTGGAACTGGGGTCGTAGTTGTGACTGTCAACTTGTCATGTATACAATTCACCTGGAAAGGAGGTTAACGAAGAATTGTCTAGATTAGGTTAGCCTGTGGACATGCCCGTGAGAGATTTTCTCATTTGTCTTAAATGAAATGTGAAGACCCTCCCTAAATGTAGCAGCATCTTTGCATGGGCTGGACTAACCGAATAGGAGAGCAAGAACAAAATAAGGACTGGCATGCATGCATTAAACTGTGATTCTCTGTTCATGATAGTGGATGTCATGTGACCAGTTACTTCAAGTCCCTGGCACCTTCAACATCCCCTAAATGACAGGTTGCAACCTGGGATTGTGAGCCAAATACATCTTTCCTCCTTAGGTTGCTTTCATCAGGGTATTTTAGCTCATCAACTAGAAACCAAAGCAGGGCAAGGTATTACCTCTATAACACTGTGTGAAATACCCAAACTGTGTCTCCTTTCTTCACATTGCTTGAAGGATGTCGCTCCCAAATGGCTTGAGCAAAAACATTCCCCCAATAAAAATGAAATCAAATGAACAGTCCAGTTGGGGGAGGGCTGTAATTGAGTCCAAAGGACAGAAGGCTAACAGTGGGACCATGACCTGAAGGGGCCTCCCACAAGGAATTCATTATCCCAGATCCTTGAGTTCTGCAAGGGTTTGTCATCTCCAACAGCAGAGTGGTGTGGGCACAGCAAACAGAGTCACTGTCCATGATTCTGGCTCCCTGTGCCAATCCAAGCTATACTTGTTGAACCGTTTCCTTCCTAGGAGAAATGGAAGCCATAGTCCTTGTCTTGGGGGCAAATGCCATCTAGTCCATGAAAGAGCATCTGTCAATGTTTCTGGCAAACATGTTTAGTCATCTTCCACCCTGTACCTTCTTCCATCTGTGGGGCATGGGCGAGTAAATAGACCCCTCCCTGATGACATGTTATTGAATTTCTTGTATTGGGGGCATGTGAATAAATTTCTACCCCCCTGGATAAAGAGGACACTGAAGGATCATAGAAAGG